GGCAATTTCGATAGTATCACCGTGTAATTTATATCGAAATTATATCGTTCGTGTTGAATGTAAGATAATTTGTGATTTCACGAAAAATAAGAAAGATAACTCGAATAAAATAGTTTTGAGGTTAGATGAATTTTTAAGAAAAAAGAATAGTGTCGTTAAGGCTGTTTGGCGAGAAGACGATTAATTTTTCACCTGATGTGTTCGTGCATTATCGATGAATAAAAACGTTGGCTCTGATCAATGAATACATTTCTCCTTGCGAATGAAATTTTTCCATTGGAACTAATTGGCTTCATAACGAGATTAAATTCAGATGATATTTAGTCACAGAGTTCCAATAAGGTGCTTTTATTTCGTATCGATCGTAATCACGTTCCAACGAAATAGCATCCCTTAATCTACGATGGACTGTAGGTACGAAATTTCCAGAGATAAATTGTTAATTAAATGTATAATCGTATAGAAATATCGTCATTTCAGCGTGATATCGGAAACGAAGAGCTTCATCACGTCGATATATTAATTTTTAAATTAATAAATCAAATTTTTCTTTAGAGAAGCATCTATATTAAAAATATTTCGTATGCGTGAATTCACGTCACAATTCCTAAAACGTGTAATACAAATGCTACGAAAAATTAATAACTTTAAAAATTAACTCCACGTGAATTTTACAAAAAAATTAACAATTTCCATTTATATAATAAGTAACGAAAAAGTAATCAAAAAGTATGGGAATTAATATATTACGATGGTACAATAAACAAATTCTTGAAATTCTTGAGGACAATAATTCCAAATTAAATTAATCACCGGAAAACGTTAAAAAGGTCTGGGAAATTGAAAAGTAATAGAAAGGATAATTCAAAATAATTAATTAATTGGAAATATTAAAAGTTTATGGAGTCTATAAATTACTCTGAAATTAAACCGAAGAATTGAGCGAATAAGAAATAGAGATAGTGTACCAAACAAAAAGATATTTAAAATAAAAAAAAATAAAAAAACAAAGTTACATTCAAATAAATTCCGAAGACTGAGATTGAACTCGATATTTACTTCAACTATGAAATATAATATAATTATTTAACACATAAAATTGTCATCGCAATGTACATATTGCTAACAATTTCTCTACAGGGGATTTATAAAGTAAATAAAATGAGGGAAAACACGCAAACGAACATGAGAATAGCAACTACCTAAGCAATGTTGATTATTTTTTAGTGCAAAATCAGGAAAATTGAAAATGCACATGGAACCAGCATATGTGGTACCAAATGTAACTTCAGATTTGCAGCAAGACATGACAAGATAGTCTTAAATAATACAATGTAATTAAAGAGGAGCAGACCTATAATAATAATTGTCAGAAAATATTCCTGCAGCCATAAAAAATTCACAAAAGTATAACCTGCCTCAAAACCTTTACACCTACACCACTACACCTCCACTCATTTAAAAACCACATATTCTCTGTCCCAGTCCACTGATTTGACAATAACAAACCCCACTCTGAATATTTCACACTATTCACTCTAAGCCTCTCAAGCATCCCCTTTGAGGATCATCGCAGATTTACAAACTGTTCAAAAAACCTCTTAAAAATATACGTAACACGAACATAAAATAATAAATCCTATTGCAAGCCCCTTCCACCCAGGTTCCTCGACCACCCCTTTTGAGGAGCTTCAAAAGTCCACCTTTGCATACCCTAGTAAAATCGCCGTGAACTCATCGCAAATGTTTGACGGACAAGCGATTCGCGGATCCACGAGTGAAACTAGCCCAATGGTCACGGATTTCCACGAATCCTAGCCGCTTTCGTCCGGTTTTACCAGGGGTAATCGCCTGCAGGGGATCAGCGGCAGCCTTTTTCTTCCCGGTAGCCTTTTATGCTAAATGCTCGCTTCATTTGAATGTCGCTAATGCGAAAAACCGATGCATACTAATGGAGAGTCGGTCTCCTCGCTCTTTCTCGCCCTCCCACGTCCGGGATACCGGCTGAACACACCGAAATCACCCCCGCAACGTGCACCTGTTCGTACGTGGTGTTCGCGTACACGCGCGTTTGCACAGCGGCCGGCCATTTCTCCGCCGGCTCTTTATGTCATATGCATACATTAAGCGCGACATACGCGCCCCTTCGGAAGAAGCTGTGCGGTGAAATTGCAGATATGCTATTTTCCACGATTTCCGCCGATGGCCGAGTGATTTCGGGTGAAAGCGACGGTAAATAGAAAGTGGAGGAATTTCGTTGCGAGTTTGGTCAATTTTGTAATACTCGCGAATCGTGGAGTGGGGTGGTAGGTGCGAGGAAATTATTCGATTATGACGAGTGGTTTAAATGATGGCATGGTGGATGTGATGGGTTTTGAAATACACGGTACACGAATCATAATAATTGAAGGAATGTAGCGCGGATAAATGGTATATTATGAATTGCATTGTATTTAAATAGAAGTTAATGCGAATTTCGTTAAATGTAGTTGCATGTTTTCAGTAAGCGAAATGTAAATTTTTAGTGGTGAATTGGATTAATCTCAATGATTTTAGCTGAGTTTAGATATTATTAAGATAATTAAGACCGAAAATGTGAAGAATTTGTTAGAAGTTAGAGTAGGTATGTCGGTCGGATTTTGTAGAATTGATGAAAATGATCAAGTTTGTGAAAAACATGAAGGGGTTATAAATATAATTGTATTTAAACAATTCTAGATGATTTTAAAGAATTTTCCTATTTTTGACACTGTACTTTTCAAACGTAAAGGAAATCAATAGTAGAGAACATATTATACAGGATGTCCCAGAATAACGTATACACATTTTAATATCTTATCCTTTCTTTCTTTCTTTTTTTTCTTTTTTTTTCTAATTTGGACATTGGCGCTGATTAAACAAATTCTATATCTGTCTTCTTTAATTTGTACTCTTAATCTGTAATCTATCTAAATATATACTGTTTTTATAATCACGCAAAGTGTGTATACTTTTTTTTGGGACAGCAATGTATATAGAAATGATAATAATCAAAGTAATATACTTAAAATAAATAAGTATATGTAACTACTTGCCTACTATTAAATAAAAATCAACGTTGATACACGTGAGATGAATAATTTAAATAAAATATCAAAAATTTGTGAAAATGACTGGTTTAACTATTGGGTATTATAATATAAAGAAAATAACACTGAAAAATCTAATTTAAAACTACGCACGTTCTCGAAATACAAAAATATATTAAAAAATAAAAACAAGAAGATCAAAAGATTAATATAAAAAAATAATAATTATTACACTTTTAATACCTCTATACTTTACCTAATATTTAATTTTCTTGGCTTAATATTCTATCAATTCACTATTAATCTTTCATGAATTATTAATTTTCTTAATAACTGTTATTTATTTAAAAAATTAAATTCGACGTCTATTAAAAGAATCATTTTTCCATTAAATTCACTTCTCGTATCATTATCACCGTACTCGGTCGTAAATATTACCAAATATCTAAGACCAACGGTGTAACGGAATGATAGCCGAAGATAGCAATTTAATCACGAATTAATAGATCGCCGCAAAAGCGATCTCCTCGGCTCTGAGGGCGGTTAATTAATTGCGCGTATATATTTGCCGAATTAGTGGAATCCGTGGCGCAGCCGATCTGAAACCGAGCGCGTTGACCGAGAAACGTTCTGCAACCGATCGGCGAGCGCAAATAGTGCGTCTCGACTCCGCTTACTTTGTAAACACCTCCTAGATCGGTCGAGCACCAGTGCTTCTCAATATTTCTTACCTCGTTGTGCTTTAAAATTTATTTCTTTTATTTGCATCTCGATATTCCTTAGTTATCCGTGCTTTTCAATTTACTTTGTTTATTTATTTCCTCAATTTATTTCCTAATATCTTTTAACACGTTGTGCTTCACAGTTTACTTTATTTATTTTCCCTAGTTACTTCGAAATATTTATTTATTCGTCGCAATTTGAAATTTGAACTGTTTAGTTATCTTTTCTTTTTCTTTTGTATCCTATCTCTAGGTCTCTAAAGCGTGATACCACAAAAATTGTAAAACGTGGATCTAAATGTTTATTAATTATTCGAAAGTTTTGAGGTTTCGTGTTATTTTGGTGATCGAACTGCTCTGAAATAATACAGATCAATTTTGTAAAGTGAAAAGTAGAGGAAAATGATTCTGTGTTCAGTGTTTCTTTATATATACTATTACCTATGAAACAGATATAAATATTAATGAAAGTATGCTATTCGGTTCTTAAAAATATGAATATCAATTATACACTAAAGTACAAAGGTTAACTTCTGAGGAGTTCGATTTTATTATGTTCAATTATGCTATATAAATAATTCTATTATCCTTTTATTTGGGTTTTGTTCAAAACAAAACACGTGTCTTTTCTACTAATGACGAATCGTGATTCAAGTGAATATAAAATAATAATACAATTAATGTGAAGACCCTATTAATATCCAAAAGTATACATTTTATAGCTTAATATTCGCGATATTATTCTACTAAATGTTATTTGGCATTGAGCATTTCATTTTACAATCAACAATTTCAATGTACAAAGCTTGTAAATATCTGTTCTTTAATTAACTATTCAATTTTATCAAATAAAAACAGAAAGAGATAAAATACAGACCTATTGTCCTACTTTTGAACAATCTGCACCCTACACGCAATGAAAATTGCCAAAAGCGCCATGTCGTATGTCAACACACTTATACTACGAAAATAAAGAAAATGGAAAAAAAGTGTGAAACCACCGAAAGAGGGAAAAAATACGCGGTACTTAATCAAGAACTATTCGCTGTCCAGGATAACAGGGAACGGTTCAAAAATTCCCAACGCCAGGATCCGAGTAAACTATGTCTCGTTGGAGAACCACTGGCATACTCACTGTGGCGATTCGTCATTAGCTCGACAAACGTTTCCACGGGATATTTTAAAACATGAGCAAACAAACAACACTTACTGTACAGGTGGATGACGCCGTCGGTCTCTCCACGTGGGTTTTTCGCCACGCATTTGTAGCTTCCGTAATCCTCCTCCTGAAAACAGAATAATAATGGCATTAGTACGAAGTACAGAAACCGTGTTAGCTTTAAAAATAATGTAGGAATGGTTATAAGATGAAAGTGAATAGAATTTTGAAATATAAGCAGCATTAAAAGAAACGGAACAATAAAATAGAAACACACAGGAATGGTAACTACGTCGTATAACACTGGCTACCCCGTTCCTCACTCAACGCCGGTTACAAACACACACTACCGCTGTTCCGAGCTCGAATCGGTGGGACCGTGAAATGTAAACAAATATTCGGCTCAGTGCTGTCGTCTCTTTCTGTCGTTCTTCACACTCGTGTATATACGCACACATTATATTCAGACGCACACCGTCTTCCATCCTCTCTCCATCCAGTCTTAAACCGATTTCTGTGTTACTAGAAATACAAATTTTGATTAATATTGAAATCACCAGATATGTAAATCACAGATATGTAATAATAATAATTGAAGTCGTACGAAGAATATAAATAAGGTTATAAATAAGGGTTAAATTATTAATTAATTTCTTATGAATTTTGTAAAGTTTGAAATATATAGTAAAAGGTGATATTTTAATTAATATTTTCCTATAAATATCAACGTCGAACAGTATTAGTTATCGAAATATTAACTAAAATCTTTTGGTACTACACAACAATGAATTTTGCCCACACGCATGTATCTACGAGACAGTGTAAGAGTAGTCGCCGTGTGTGGATCCGATTACACGAATCAACTGTGCTGCGACAGTCTCACGGATGCATATATGTGGTCAGAATTCAATGGGATAGTAACGAAGCTTCTCCGACGACAACTCAGAATCTAAAGACAATAGTTTCTTACATGCATAGGAGAAAGTTATTGCAAATGTAACCCTTTACAGCAGATTTCAAGCGCATTAAAAACTGTAAGGAACGAATTAATCGATGAATCGATCTAAATGCGTATATACGATAGATATAGATTCGTCTTCATATAAATTATACATCCCCGTATGAAAAGATACGAATGAATCAAGTATTTTTAATGTTAACATGAACACTTACATTTAGCTCTATTTATCATCACTCATCAGGAGCATTTGGCAAGAACTTATAACACGACGAATTCACGAACTGCGTCGTAGAAAAATCCACGTTCGATTTTGCGACGCCATATTGAGGTTACTTTTTTCACTTCGTCACCCGTATTGAAATGATTTCTAGAAATATCCTTTTTCATACGACCAAACACGTGGAGGTCAGAAGACAATAGATTCAGACTATCAGGTCTATTTTAATATTCATTGCTACAAAAATCGTATCACAGCACAAATTACAGGACACAGGCACTCGTTACAAGATACCGCGTCTTCCGTATACTGGAACGTTCGATTGTCTGACGCAATCGAGTCGAAATTCACGTTAGATCAACGACGATATTCATCCCCGTAGCCATCTAGCGGCAGACGCATCAGTTTTGCACAAAATGAGGCAAACAGCTGACAAGAGAAAGGAAATATAGGTCAGATGGAAATATCGATCGAATCGATCGTATTCGCTAGTATGACATATGTATATGAGTTCATTTTATTTTTTAATTTTACGTTCACAGAATGTAATAAATTATATTCGCGAAAAGGGATATACTAGTGAAAATGGTAGAATTGAAATGGTATTTAATTACTATTCGTAATAGAAAAAATAAAAATTCTTTTCCTCCCTTCATCTCTTTTTTTTTTTTTTTAATAAGAGGATTTAACGGTGCATTTTATTTTTCATTTCATCGTATCAAATCCACTCTTGGTAGTATTAATACATATACATATTATACTAGTATTAATACTTGTTAGTATCGATGAACAATATAATAATAAATTTTATGAGTATATGAATCAACAAAATACTATAAATTAGTGACAAGAAGATGGTAATACAGTACCTCTTTTACTTTTTTGACAAGTTTTCCAAAATTAATGAATTAACTAATTATAAAATTTATTATTATTTTAAAAAATTGCATATCGTTAATGTATTGATGCTGATAATGTGGTATCAAAGAACATATGAAATAAAATATATTTTACATTTTATACCTATTAACGTTATTTTCAGAATTTTTCTATTATTAGGTATGTACACATTATATATATTTATAATTATCATTTATTATATATGAAATAATATTATTACCAAATATCACTAACACAGTATTGAAATAATAAAATACAATTGCACAGTAATAAGTGAATTAAATAAAATTTAAAATATAATGCTATACATATATATGTATAATTTAAAAAGTACCACTGAATCTATCAAAAATTATTTAATTAAATTAAAAAATAGAATGTATCAATAGAATATCGATACCTATCTAATAAAAAATTAAATAACCATAGTAATTACTTTAAAATCCCCAAAACCACTCTGTTTATTCAGTTAATTATCAATTTGATCATTATTTTCTACTTTTTCTTTCATCACACAATTTCCTTTAAGAATTTCATCGAGTCTGATTCATAATACAGTTTGATTTACGAAACCAACTTCTATTCTCGATCATTTGTACTTTCAAAATTTGATCCCAAAAGCATTTATTATCCCCGTAAAAGCAACGGAATAAAGAATCACGGAAAATGAAAGGGTGGAAGATAGGGGCAGGGGGTGGAAAAGGGATATATTTTCCTTGAGCTGACGACACGAGGAAGTTCCTATTTTACACGGACATCTCAAGGATATCCTTTCCATACATGAAAATAATCTGCGAATAAATCTCGTGAGATGTCGCGAAAACTTTTCAAATATCACCTGTTGACTTCGCGGCACTTCCCGTTGGCTAAAGTTAGGGTTAGTAGGTGAGCAGTTTCCCCTCGATTCGGAGCTAAAGTCTCGAGATTATTTGAAAGATATCTCGAAATTTTCCTGTTGTCTGTTCCCTCAAAATGGTGACCCGAAAACTTCGTTATGTTCAAAATTACCGACCTATAACGCGAACCAAAATATAACCCACGTAATTAATAATAATTAAAATGATACAATGAAAATAAATAAACATACACGATTAAAATCCTATTTGAATAAAAATCAATCTTAATTTTTTCAAAAATTGCTTAAACAAGTCCCTTTATTCCCTTTGATAGTTCCAGTGTTAAAATAAATATTTAGATATTATTAGATAATTAGTGCCATACTGCACCTAACTGGAATCAGTTTAATTTAATACATCACTATACATTATTATGATTTAATACGTCTATCCAATTTTGACAAAATTTGAAGATCCGAGTATGTAATAGCACGAACAAAATAAAATTTGAGCAATAAATTTTCAAATAACTATTTTTATTTCTATGAAAATTTTTATGAAAATTAAGAAAATGAAATTCAAGAGTCCTTTGACAGAAGAATTTGGCAACCATGTTTCGAGATGTTCCGAGAAGTAACACGAACCATAATAACACTTGTTCCTTTACTAATCTATATCGCACAATTTCTTAGACTCTTCATTCATGCATCGTATCCATTCCCTACTTCATTTTAAACTTGAAAAAATATGGAATCAAGTAAACTTTATATAGCGATACATACATAGGAAAATTGTACCGGGAAGTATTTTATGTTCGGTCGAGAGCAGTAAAAAACATGGTAAAGGAGAGGTTAAAACGTGCAGAAAGTTATCTTTTCGTAATTTCCTCTCTTGCCCTCGCGAGTACGGTAGTTACAGTGTAAGTGCACGTTCACGGTGAAATTGCGTGTATTTTTGTTAAACAAAGAGATTCGAGGGAATAGGACGCTCGAGATAGAATACGCAGAGTCAATTATACGATATTTGTCGCAGTTAATTGGCCAAGCAAGAAACGAGACGTCTTCGAAAAAAATATCGATCTTCCGGGGTTTTATTGTACGTTAATTAACCAAACAAATGGCCGGGAAAAACGCGGCATGAAGGTAGCCAAACGGAGAAAAAGGAACACGCGATCTTCGCGCTCCGCGCTGCTACTTAAGGAAAAACGAGAAAAAAAGGAATTCCTAATTCAGGGAGCACGGGGAGAATGGAAGAACATTTGCATGGCGAACAAACAAACAAGCAACCAAAAGAGAAAAGGAGTTACCTGCCACGAAATATACGTACGCGTTGAGAAACAAAAAGATAAGAAATTAGCGTGGAAAATTACTTCCTCGACGAGCTATGCCCACACTGATATTACCGAATCTTCTATGCTTGATTTTGAAACTAGTGCAAGCCATGTCATCTTGTATACGATACGATCTAGGATCAAAATATCTAGGACGTTTGATAAATTATTTGGTAAATTATTTTTAAAATTATTAATTAATTTAATTATTAAATTATCGATGAGTTGTGTGATCAATGCATATTTCAAATAAAAATATTAAAAGAATATTGAAAATAATACCAAATTCTATTGATTTTTTAAGAGAGAAAAAATACTTTATCATCTTCGATTTACAATATTTTTCTCGTGGTGATGTGAGTATTACTTCTAACTATAAAAGTGCATTACTATTTAAAAACTGGAGTAAATTGACAGAAGTCGTTTTTGATATAAACCATTTAATAATTATAAATTTTAGTAAAAATGTTTGCAAAAATCGTGATGTTTGATATGAGAGTTACACGATTCTGTGAATTATAGAAGTTCGAAGTACTAATTGAAGGAGGATTAAATAAAAATATCTTGAACTTGAGGGAATACCCATGACAAGTGTAAAATGTTAGTACTTTTTCCATCTCATGATACAGAATGGTTGAAAAATAAAAAATGATTGTGAGAAAATCGTACAAAAAATCTAATTGTTTATCTTTGTCTTGGACGAAACAAGAGGAAAACGTTTCAAAAATATAATTAAATTTTGATTTATGGATTTTATAAGCAAAAAAATATTATTCTACGATTTACAGCAATATACAATACATATTTATAGATACCTAAAATTATTACGTCAAAAAGTACCAGGTGAACGACCTAGTACTCTTTGATTACTATCATTATAACAAAATAAAGAACAGAGTCATATAATAAAATCATCTTTATATTTTATATACATACTTATATATTCATAGGGCCCTGATGGAGTATCATAGGGATAAGAGATCAGTGAGTTGCCAACGTGACAATATGTATCAAAGAGTGTTTGAGAAATAGTGTTTGCGATATAATTAGCCTTACCCTATTTGTCATTTGTTATCTTTGAAATATATATTTATCATTAATCATCAATGTTGCCTCGTGAGAGAATATATACCCCTATTCAATCCTGTGTGTTTCTCTTCTCTCATCTTTCAACCCTGCATATTTATATGATAGAATCTCTTATTCCCATTTTAAATTATATTTTCTATATACACCATAATGCAATAACCTAATTACACGTCGTGTGTTCCTAGAAAAACACAATTTTCGTAAACCGAGGGTGATAAAGCAATTTCAATTACGAATTCGTTTTCAGCAAAGTAAACTCCACGAGAATTACCCAATGGATATTACAGATTAAAATTCGTGTTGAACAATGTAATAGCGTGAACACACTCCACAGACGCAGCTTCAAGAGATCAGCGATAAAATTCGTTCCACCCACCTGCAGATCGTATATCGTCAGCGTCATACGCGTCTTGTAGGGTAGTTTCTCCGTCGTTGATGTAATCTTGTACTTATTACTCCCCTGGATCATTACGCCGTCCTCCCTGGTCCAGTAATTCAAAGAAGTTGGATGAGCCTCCGTGTTGCATTCCAGTGTGACGGAATGCTCCAAGGGTGCACCAACCAATTGGTGCGGTATCCACAGCATAGGGGGGACTGCAACGAGAAAAGTGATTGATTGGCTCATAAATGTTCCAATTACTAGCGATACAAGCAGGGTGCTGCGATCGATAACGGCTCCACGTCTATAAATCTTGACCCGAGTTTGCCGAACACGCGTCTATGCGCTTCTCGATTCGATCACGCTCTTGCGAGGGAACAAAGCAGCGCCACGATCAACGCAGCGCCCTCTCCCACGAGGAAAACGATATTACGAAGATCCTTTTGCCCTATTCGTCGTTGGCTTCGTGCAGTTTCACGAAAAATTTCAGTCTTTGAACGTTACCTTTCTCAAAGTCACGAGAAGAAACTTTAAAATTATTATGGCAACCGGTTCGCGATATTTCTAGAATTTGCAAGGTTGGTCAGGCCTACGATATTCTGAGATGATTAATTACTCGATCTAGGTACATACAATCAAATATTATATTTCAAAGATCACTCTAAAAGACGTAGATTTACTAGAAACCTATGCAATATATAATAATAATAATAATAATAATAATAATAATAATAATAATAATAATAATACTTTATTAACAGACAAAAGTCCTTTGGTATACAATAAAAATAGTAAAATGAAATATACTGTAATAACGTAGTAGTACAGTAGTACAAAAAGTAATGGAACAAGAAATAATTAAAGAAAAGAAATTTAAAAAAAAAGAAGAAAAATTTAATAAATAAATGGTTGAGGTCTAGTTGAGGTCTAGTTGAAATAGATACCTTAAAAGAGCATACCGATACATTAAAGAAGTCAGTGTATATTTGCTGTTTACGCAGTTTCTCTCACCTATCAGCGAGCGGTATGGAATAATGTAAAATTATTCCAATTAGATTTTACAAAATAAATAATACAAAATATACAAAGTAAAATCAGCACTTTCAGAATGCCAAAGCAAATTTATATTCAAATGGTGCAGTTCTATTCCTCACAAAAATACTCTCTAAACCCATCACAGCCTGCACTACCGTTTCCAAATTTTAGATTAAAAATTCCACATTCGGTGTTGTTATTTAGTCCATTTGACTTCCTCGTAGTATTCATTCCCCATGAAGCATTTCGTCCTTCATTTTTCCATCTCCTGGTCGTGATATGTTTAGTTTCAAACTTGGGTAGCAGAATTCAAATTTAGAAAAATCCACGGTACAACTCATTAACCATCTAACCGCCTAATATTTCGTCAAAGGAAAACTCGATTCTGCTAGTTAGCATACTTTTTCCCTTCACCCAACTGCTTCTTGCTTTTCGTTACCGCGACTTTTTCTTTCTCCTTTTCATCCATCTCTCTCCCCATCTCGACCGACTCTCTCGTTAAGTTTTGATTTACGTGCTGGGGGCGTCGAGCAATTAAGAGGAAATTAGCGTCAAGACGCTCGATTAAAGACAACCGGCTCGAAACAACGCCTGCGTGGAGAACGCGCGTCAACGTTTCGACCGCGTTCCTCGGCGTCGAAACGAGAAACGGGCTTTCCCGTGGAAAAGAATGAAGACGGATGTCGGCGATATTTTATGGAAATTCGATAAAGTTCCTTGAATTAAAGGAACAAAAGGTAGGCGGGCCATTTTTTCGCCGCTTTGCAACCCCGTGATGGATTGTTGTTTCTAATGGCGGAATCTGTTCCGTGTCGTAACGGCGTATTAATTTCGCGGGCGTCGGAATCGAACATTTATATCATAAGCTGTTCATCGAATGAACGGGGAACGTCCATGTTCCACAGCTGCCACGAACGATTTCATTTTTACATGTTTCAGGTATAGAATTTTAAAGTGACAAAAAAGCTTCTGCGCCGGGATTTTTTGTTTTCATTAAAATGCATTACAAAATGCTCCTGCATTGTTTATTCGGTTTAAAAGTAACAGGAAATGATTAAAAAGAATTAAGTTTTACTTGCATACTGTCGAATAACGCGTCAGGATTTATGTATATTGCATCAGATGCATTACGCGATACTTTATTGATCATTATTTATTCATTAGGGTATGAAAAAATAATACAAATAAAGTGACTCGTGGTGCTGTATTTATCACGAGCTGAATGTTTACGTAAATCATATAATTTCACCAAAAGACACGATATTAGATCATAAAACAATTTTTCAATGTGTTATATAGACATTTTACGTGTTGGTAACTGGAGGGTATTTCACAAAACATATACTTTCCTCGTCTTTCTTTTCTTGCTGCATTTCTAATAATTTCGCGATTTTAGCAGTGACGTAGCTGGGATTTTTACCACCCCTTGCGAGTATTTAACCCTTTGCACTCGGCAATCTTTTCGTTACAGAAATATAGTAATTCGGAGACTTTCTGCCATAGAGTCGACGATATTTTCAAAACGGTAAATAAGAAATGCAAATTAATTGTAAGGCGTAGAATTACTTTACCTCGATATTCCACGCATCGTTGGGCAATTTTAAATTTGAAATATCAATTAACAACAATCTTTAGAATCTGATTAAATAGTGACTGAGAGTCGTCTCTCGAATCCAAAGGGTTTATGCGTTAAAAAGTAAATTTACTGAGGTTATTGGGTCACCAATCGTCGATAGTAATTGTAAATACAACTGTTAAATTTTAATTATTAATCGAATAACAAACATTATTAAGCTGACGCAAGCAAAAGAATCGTCGAAAAATAAAATTTTGTCCCTTCGAAAAAAAAAAAAAAAAGAGTCGCTCGGGGCGAACCGTCCCTTCCACCCTTCTGTAACTACTGCACTGAATTTGCAGATACTGTCAAAAATATCCCACTTTTACGTATGTTTAAACACAAAAAGGAAGAGATATATCTCGCACCACCGTGTTTCGAGGAATTAAACGATACACGTCATATTCAATTATTTCAAATCTCTCTTTCTCGATAAAAGCAAAAAAACAAAAAAACAAAAAACAAAGACAAGAAGGCAAAAGAAGAACAAAGAAAATGGAGGCGAGAAGAAGGGAATGATCGAGAGTCGTTTTCCGTTCTTCGTAATTCGTTGAAAGTGAGGATCATCGCGATAATCGATAAGGTATCTGAACGGAGAGCAGAAGGGTTGCATTTGGGCTAATCGGGTCTTTTTAAAACGTATTTGCGAGTTTGGAAAGTGGAGAGGAAACTCGTGTATTCATTTGCGGCATGGATCGATGCTGATTGAAAAGTAACGGAAGTGGCATGGATACGAGTAAGGGGCTCGTTGTGCACTGTAGTTCAACTTTGTTCGAGTACAGTGATTATAAACGTGCTTTTTACATTTCGTTTGGTCGACCGCGCAGCTTATTTGTGGTTACAGTAATAGGAGTTTATTTGGTGAAACATTACACCGATATTTATGTAGCGTATAAAATCCTCCGATAATGATATTATATGGACTATACTAAAAATCGCGATGTAAGTTTAAGGGTAATTAATCTCCGTAAAAAATTGAATCGAAAATGTAGAATGATAATTTTTGATAGGACGCTTAGTTCTCGAGAAAATCAATTGTAAAGTTTTGTGAGCGCTGCTACTCTCTTTTTATCTGTTAAGTTACAATTCGTTTAGGTTAAGGAGAGAGAAATTGCATTATTACAACGAATGCATTATTGAAACTTGATATATTAATTCAATCCACACCAAATCGTGACATTATTTGTAAGTCTATGCAAGTTATGTCACATGTGGTGGGACCTGGTCAGTTGACTCTCTGTCAATCAAATTCACGTGTACTCACACAAATGCATAGTTGATTTTCTCGAAAACGAAGCCTCGTATCAAAAATTGTTATTTTGCATTTTTTACTCAATTTTACACGACGAATCATTTCCCTTCAGTTTGTCTCGTAATTTCAGACATAGACTAAAATTATTAATTTAAACTGTGGGTCAGAGAACTCGTCCGAAAATTCTACAGTGGCTGAATTAAAAGTTTATTTATAAACTGAATTTATTTTAATAAGATTTAGTTCTAACTTGATTCAATATATATAATCAATACAATGTAATATGTGCTCAGTAAGAAAAGCCCACAGCAAGTGTAACAAGATGCTTCCCTTATGTTAAGCGTGACAATAACTGGCATGAAATTAGAAAGTGTTCTATAACTCGATCTAAGAGAAGAAGAGAATGGCTCACGCGTTTTACGACTGCCATTATTCTTCGATCAAACATCGAATCTCAAATTAATCCTATCACCGCATTTTTCCCTCGGTACGTTAAATCTCAGAAAATAAGTCATGCAGGCTTTACAACGCTTAGCCCTGTGGAGTTCGTTCAATAAAAAAGTAATTCCACCACGACGAATGGTTTTCCATAGGAGCCCTCTGTGCTTCTGATAATGCCTTCATGGGATGGGAGTGCTTCAATTTAACTTAAACCTCGTAACAATACACCGAGAGACCTCGAACTTTCCCGCGGACACATTTTTCATGAAGTTCGAGACGAGCCGAGCATAATTCACGTGAGAATGTTCGCGACGAGGAAAGGGGCAAAGTATGAGAACAGAATATAACCCTTAACGTTTGAGCACAGGCCAGAGGTATAACACGAACCTAACATCTTATGGGAATTTCTGTTACACGAACTGGAGTACCTGTCTTGGATGAAAACAGAAATTTTATCGTATCTACTAGACGTAATTTGACAGAATAATTTTTATGGGGTTAGACATTATATCCAAGCTAAAACAATTTTTAGAAATAATAGATGTACGATTCTGTACTCCTTTATTTTTAATTTTCTAATATTGTAGTTAAATTAAATTAAATTAAATTATTATGGAATATTTTAATTCTCTCAATCTCACTTTATAAAACAGCTATTACATCGTACCTCTCTGTAAAAAAATGTTTTTTCTTATACTTATACACATCTCGTCTATTTGTATATTTATATATTTTTATTTTTATTTGTTATCATTAATTTTATACCTCACTGTAATAATTTTCTTGTCATTTTTCTAATGAGATATTCCCGTATAAATAAATAAATAAATGAATGAAATAAACGTAATTTGTTATATGTATTTTCAATATTCTTAATCAATTACTCATTAAAGTGTGAGTTCAAGCTGAGGGCTGTACAATATTTACATACTATAAAATTTCGGAAATTTTATTTCTGGCACTGTGCACAGGCTAGTCTGAATTATGCTCGATTTTCATTCATCGTGGGATTTTCGTAAAGGATACTAATTTGATAGAAGTATAAGATAGATGTCTAGCTACTAAATATTTAAAGAACTATTAGAGTCGTAAACTAGACTTGATATACTAAAATCTTTTTCGACATAATATATTATTTCAGTTCCTCGCATTAAAGATAAAAGTCATTAACAATTAACTCCTGCTTTCAATATTCATTTGACGTCTTTCAGAAGACATCAGATGAAAGATAATTCAAGTCCTTCCACTAAGTATCCATATCCTACTTATGTACATGTCACACGGTATATAATAAATTATTCGTTAATAAAAATTCATATTCTCGTATATTTCTAATTATACGATTAATTTTCACTCTCTTGCGTTATTCAGAAGACAGAAGTATAGCAGACTTTTAACTCGACATGGTCAATACTAATTTCAGCTAGTTAATTTGAGATTTAGATGAATACTATCAATCAATATCAGTATTGCCTAAAAATTATTCAGCCATTAATCATTCCAACTGACTTAAAGTAGTGATAATGAAATACCCTCACCGTCAAGGGTTGTTCTTATTGATTGATAGGATATACCTTTAATTAGTGAAAATGTGCGTTACAATAATAAAATTAATAACAAATATTAATATATGTTATTATATATTACAACTGAGAAATTCAGTAAAAAAGAATTCGATCATTTTTGGATTGCGAAATCGAAAAGGATATGAGCGTTAAGGGGTTAATTCACCCCTTTTCTTACTTTTTCACATCCACGAATTTGTACGCATTATCAAAAAACAATGAATTGTAGATTTAAACCGTAATGAATAGTCAGCATTACTTCGTCCACGATCAACATCCTAACCGGCAGGAATTTCCTCCTCGTCCCCGGACACGTTGGCTTCCCTAGTGGGGGTCGTTTAACTTTTATTCGAAGGGA